GCAGGGTTTCAGCACCCCATTTTTGGGCTCACATGCAATCAAGTAGGAAAACGGAGGTGGACCCATCAAGTGTCCACCCAGTTCTTGCTGCGGGCCAGCCTACAGAGCAGCACATGCCCTGTGGGGAGACCAGACCCGACACAAGGGAAGGAGGTCAGCGATACGGAACGTGTAGGAGTGAGGCTGAGGTATGTCCCGGGAGGGGAGCCTCTGAGGCCAGGCAGGACGGTGCCGTGAGTGAGTAGGGCAGCACAGGGTGTAACCCGTGCCCTTTGTCCTCCCCTGTGGTCAGTGTGACTGCAATCAGAGGCCCAGCAGGCAGATGCCTGAGCATGGCGGGGTGTGGAGGCAGGAGACGAGTGTTGTGTGTGTGTCCCTCATCCCCACCCCCCCTTAGACCATGACTGACGTGGTGGGTAATCCAGAGGAGGAGCGCCGAGCTGAGTTCTACTTCCAGCCTTGGGCTCAGGAGGCCGTGTGCCGCTACTTCTACTCCAAGGTAGGTGCCTGGGATGGTGAGGGCAGGGCGTCTGCGCCCCCGTCGGGGCCAGGGCCAGTAGGGTAGGTCCCGAGGGCTGGGTGTCTCATCAACTGCCCTTCGATGCTATTCTCTCCCCAGGTGCAACAGAGACGACAGGAACTAGAGCAAGCCCTGGGGATCCGAAACACCTAGGAACCCCCAGTCCGGATTTGGCTGCACCGATTCTGAAACCGGGCCTTGTGCTGCCTGCCTCATTGCACCCGCCTTGGCCTTGGCTGGGGCCTTCCAAGGGATGCTGTTGGTTCAAGGACACCACCAGAACGAAGAGGGTCTCACATATGTGTCTTACTAGACACCTGTTGACCTCTTCCTCCACCCTAGCCTTTCCTACTCCCCAGTTTCCCTTTGCCCTCCCAGTTCCCATGTGCCTCTGCTCGCCCTCTAAGTAGCGTTAGAGAGAACCTGTAGTGGTACTCAGGGCTCTGAGTGGATGGGCCCCAGGCCAAGTGGTCTTCAAGGGGACCAGCTACACTGCCCTGCCCTCAGAGACCTGGGTCCTTTTTCCCGGCTCTAGCCTGAGGGCACTCCGTAAACTCCTGGTAACTGAACCCAGTGTCCTTCCGCCCTGAGCAGACTGCGCTGCACCTGCGCCGCCCTGTAGCACTAAAGGAAGCCGGGCCCTGGGCTGAGCTGAGCCCGGTCTGTCCCTGCCTGGGAGGGCTGCCACCTTAGTGCCCCTCTCTCTCCCTCAGAGGGGTCCACAGCAGTATTGGAGTTGACCCGCCCCCTAGCACATTCCTTGTAGCAGCCTGTATTAGGAACCCCTCCTGTCTGCCCTGACCTGGCTGGGGAGATTTACCTTTCCCGGGCAGAGCTCGACACCTGGAGGACTGCTGGTGCCAGAAGAGGCTGTTCTACTGTTTGCTTGGACTGACTCCTTCACTCCATCCTGCTTCCCCTCCTCCCCCAGCCCCTTCCCTTAAAGGAGAAACAGGCCTAAAATCAAACGGGTACAAGCCCTGGGCCACCCGTCTTCCTGTCCTTTTTCTGCTCAGTTGACGCCCCAGGTAGCTTCTAGGGCACCGAGGAGTACAGGCACCCAGAGCTGGACAACAGCTGAGTTGGGTTTGACTCCCCGCCCCTCCCCTGCCCTCCAGGCTCGGGATGCCCCCGCCCTCGAAGCTTCAACCCCCTCAGGTAGCAGCAGGACCTTGCCGTCTTGGCCTCTTGGAGCTGAGATGGGTTTGCATCTTTGCAGGAGAGCCTCGGATTCTTCCAGGTTGTATCGCCCCAAGTTAGCATAACCCCCAGGCTCGCAGACTCAACACAGCAGGTGGGAGACAGCTGTCCCACTTGGGCTCTCACCCCACAGAACTGACAGCCCTGCTTCCCACCCCCTCCTCAGGCTCCTGCGAGCACATCCTCATGCCCCTTAGCCCTGTCTGCTCCCCACCAGGGACAGGACTTTTCCCCAGTCGCCCCGTCAGAGGCTCTCCCCAGTGGCACTGGACAACTATCGTCGGGCAGCTGAGCCCTGGCCCGGCTCCTGGCGAGAACCACTAGAAGGAAGCTCAGATCCCCTATGGTGTCCTGTTGAAGATCATTGTTTTTATTAACTGAATGATTATGTGTTTTTTTTTCATGGACCAAAATTTTTTTTGTACTGTCCCCTTATTGATGTCACCCAGTTTTAATAAAAGGATCTTCTGAAGGATGGGATGCCCCTAGCTATGGGGGGAGAGCCCAGCCTCAAGCTCATTCTCCCAGCACCTTCGGCCCTACTCGTGCTTTGTGCAGTTGCTGGACAGACATTGAGCCCCAAGTACCGCTGTATGCCGAGGGAGGGACCCTGCTGGTGGACTGGCTATGCATTGGGCTGCTCACCATAAGGTCATCATTTCAAAACCACCAACTGCTCTGCTGGAGAGAAACAAAGGCTTTCTATTCCCAGAAATGATTAGTCTTGGAAACCCACAGGGGAAGTTCTACCCTGTCCTGTAGGCTCACTGAGTCAGAATCCACTCGTTGGCATTGAGTTTGGGGTTTTGTGTGCTCGGCATGGCACTAGCTGCTGGGGAAAGTGGAAAACCAGGCTCTTAGCCTGCACACCTCAGTTCTCACCTCGAGGTTGCTCTAGCAGTGCCACTGGGCCAAGCAAGCCCGGTGCCTTCACTGCACCTGTGAGGCCTGCCCCACTGCCCAGGGTAAGCAGGCACCGACAGTCTCTCCTGGGTTCCCTGGGGCACAGAGGCCTTTTGGCAGCAGCTTGCCAGGGCTTGGGCAACCAGACATGTTTGCTCTCTGGGGTGTGCCACTTGCCATGCTGAGATCCTCGTGCCAGCCCCTCATTACGATTGACTGGAAGCCTTGCTCGGGAGCAGTGGCTCCCATCAGCAGAAGCAAGGCACATTTCCAGTCTACTCTCTACCTGCTGCTCCTTTGCAGTGTACCCAAGAAGGGCTTCTGAGCAGAACAGAGTATGCGTAGGCATGTCCCAAAATAATTTTGTTTCCAAGGATGGGAACATGCAGGAATTGCCTGTAGCATGTGACAAAACCACCATTCCCAATCCAGAACTTGGGGCTTGATCGGGGTTAAGGAGGGAGGTGGGTTGATCACTTGGAAGTGGAGCAAATGGGTGTTCAAGGGCATTGGAATGGCACTGGGTTTTACCCAGGCTAATCACACATGTAATGAATGGCTGATGAGCCATGAGGAATTTCAAGCAAATGTACAGTTTGCACTTAGGAAAAGAGCCCCGCTGGGACAGAATGCTCTGACTGACTGGCCCGTGTGGAGTCTGCACTCCCTTTATTTCTTACGCCCATGAGCAAAGCCTTTGTCTCCAGGCCACTGAAAACGAACAGTGGGGCAAAGTGGAAAGGGCATTCCGGCAGAACAAGGTGACTGTATGCATAAACATTCTACGTGCAGGGGCAGCAGCATCCTTCCTCATCACCTGCCATCAGGACTCCGGCTGGCAGCCTGGCACAGGTGCCATTCCCTCTAAGCCAGTGCTGTAAGGACTCCGGGAGGCAGGCTCTGTATGGATGTAACTGTCCTCGAGACAACTGCCCACCACTGGTTTCCCTTCTGAGGTGAAGACCCTGGCCATGGCAGGAGGATAGGGTGGGCCTTTCCTGGGCAGTCCCTGGAACTTCGAAAACCATCCCCTGCCTTGACCTCCTGTCTACTTCCCTCACCCAGTGGTTGCACACACAACCTCCTCTCCCCTAGTGCTGACTGCTGTTAGGCCAGCCACAGCCCAGGGGAGTGAGAACGCCCACTCAGCAGCCAGCCAAGCCAGGAGGGCAGCACGTGAGCAGGGCACAGTGGTATCTGCCCTCTAGGCCAAGGTGCACACGCAGCTGGAGTGGGGCCTCCTGCCCTGCTCTCCACATGAGGCTGGAAACCAGCGGGCCCTCTGGGTCAAGCAGATGGCTGGGGCGGGGGAACCTCAGTTATAGCACCCTTAGGCCACCTGGATACTCACAGTTGTATGGCTATGTCTCCACTTCCCCCCCACCCCCCATAAGTCCTTCCCCCAGGGAAACTGTTCTCAGGTCTTGCCGCCCCGCTCCCTTTCTTTGGCTTCTGCAAACTAGCCATGAGCCTGAGGGAGGCCCCGCAGCAGGAAAGGAATGTTGGTGGTCATGGCCTCTAAGGTATGGCCATTTCCTTTCCCATCTTCCTTAATTAAGCACCCCCAATCCAAAACAAACATCTAAGCAAGTCAATTCTGACTCCTAGGGACCCTATAGACAGCATAGAACTGTCCTTGTGGGTTTCTGAGGTGGTAACTCTTTACAGGAGTAGAAAGCTTCATCTTAACCTCCAGTGCAGCTGGTGAGTTCAAACTGCTGACCTTGTGGTTGGCAGCCCAATGTATAAACTACTACACCACCCCACCCCCAGTCCCATCCCACCAGGGCTCCTTTCCTCGAGCTCAGAGACTGCAACAGGAGAATTGTGGGCCACTTGGCTTCAGAGCCCTCCAACTTGAGCCTCCCACCTCCCTGGAAATCACTCAGGATCATTTGAAGTGGAGAGGCAGGCCCACTGGTGAGCCCCTGAACTGACCACTTTGGGGGACAGGTGACCTTGTCCAAGATGTCCTTGTCTCTCGGGGATCTTAGGTTGGTTGTGTGCAAAGCAGGCTTTTACCTCCTACGTCATCTCATCTTTAAACGTGGGCTCTGCAGTGGAGCCAGTGGAAGGTGGTCCCTCTGCCCTGGATGGGGGTTGTGCCTACCACTGAGGAAGAAAAACCATTCCCATGTCTGCTGCCCGGCACTGAGTATAATTTATTCATGTTAGGGGACAGCGGGGAGCATGGAGCAATAATCAGTCACTTATTTCTTATCTGGGCTATTTCTTGGCAGACCCCAAAATGAGACCAGAAGGCAGTCGGGGAGGGGTGAGCTGGGTGGTGCTGGTCCCCCTCCGGAGGCTTGGAGGCTTGGAGCTCAGGAAGAAACATCCTCAGCTGGCCAGTCTCAAAGGCCAGCCGGTCTCTGCCCCATTCTTGGTCCCCACCTGCCCCTACGCGCCTGCCTTTTCTCTTTCTCTGCCTCCCTCTGGCAGACTCCCTCTCACTGGGCACCTGCCTCCCCGCCCACTCCTGGAGGGTGGGGCTTGGCTGCACCCACGTGTGGCGGAGTTAAAGGCTCCTCACAGCACAGGAGCTGGTGAGTGTGGCACCCAGCCGGCTGGGGAGAGAAGCGGCACCATGGCTGGCAAGAAAGTCTGCATTGTGGGCTCTGGCAACTGGTAAGTTGAGCCCCAGCCGCTGCTCTGCCAGGCTCCAGAGCAGAGGGTAGGCTCAGGCAGGCAGGGGGCTTAGCGAAGGAGGGAGGCGGAGTGGGCAGCAATGTCTACCCTTGCAGCTTCCTGCTCCATGCTTATCAACACCCCCGCCCCCCACCCACGGCAGCTAGTGTCCCAATCCCCGCTGGCTCTGGCTGGCTGGGCAGCTGCACCTGTTCTCCAGAGCGCTCCCTGCCCGGAAAGCTGCTTGGGCTGGGGGCATGGGATGGGGGAGGGGGGTGTCTGGAAGGGCCAGGCTCCCTCCTCTAGGAGTGGACAGACAGACTGAGGCCAGGTCACAGGGCGCACCCTCACGGGTGGGGGTGGACAAGGAAGGCAGAAAGAAATTATCTGATGGGCTGTCATGAAATCCTAAGCCGGTCACACACCATTCCCTCCCTTGCTGCCCCCTTCCACTACTGTTCTCCCCCTCTCCCCACCCCCCAACCCCATCACCATAGGGGCTCCGCCATCGCCAAGATTGTGGGTAGCAATGCAGCTCAGCTGGCACGCTTTGACCCCCGGGTGACTATGTGGGTGTTTGAGGAAGACATCGGGGGCAGGAAGCTGACGGAGATCATCAACACGCAGCACGAGAATGTCAGATACCTGCCTGGGCACAAGCTGCCCCCCAATGTGGTAAGCCCCGCACCCTGAGTGAGTGAGCAGAGAGCAAGCTAGGGAGGGAGGATCGAGCTGGGGGAAGGGAAGGCTGGGCAGTTGGGGCAAGATCTTACTTACCACCGGCTGCCTCCTGCTGTGAGGAGCTGGCTCAGGTGAGAGTCGCCCTTGAGCCCCTTCTCAGGAGGGCTGCTCCAGGCTGAGCACCTCAATACACAGTTGCCCAGTGGCTCCCTGGGCGTCTTTCTGGGACTGAGAACCTGCATGCACCTCCCTCCCTACTAACCCAGGGGTGGGTTACTCAATTAGCAAGAAGAGACGCTGCCTTGGCTCCCTCCCTCCAGTCAGGAACCCTCACCGCTTGCTCGCTTGCTCGCTGGAGAAGAGGTCTGACTGTAGTAAGGTGCAGCGGCGGCGCTGGCAGAGATGGGCCAGCCAGACTTACAGGTGGCACCTCATGTTAACGTGGCTCAGAAAAGGAGAAATTATTCACTGCAGATTAGTGAACCCAAGTAAGCCTGTGCTTCCCGTGCTCATTGGGTAACGCAACACAATGCTCCCCTTAGAGAGCCCCAAGGAGGGAAGGGAAGAAAGAATGCAGGAGCTGGTCTCCATGGCAACCAAAGATAGGTTCTGGAGCTCCCAGACTCTGGGTCTGTCTGTGACTGTTCACCGGGTTATCAGCAGGTCTGGAGACCGATTCTTGGACTTGGGGTCTTCCGTCAAATCCATGAGGCTCTCTAACTACCTGGAAAGGGGGAAGAGGAGCAGGAAGATCCAAGGTTCCCTGCTCCCAGGCGCAATTTTACTTGGCCTTTCTCTGCTGCCAAGCCAGGCCTCCTTTGGCCTCCGTCACTGTCTCCCAGCCAAGGGTGAGGAGGGACCTTCGGAGGGTTCCAGGAGTCCGAAAAGCCCAGGACAGCTGGAGCTGAGATGAGCCGTGGTTGGGGGGAAGGGAGTTGTACGGTCAGGTCTGCCACTTCCAAATTCAGTCCCCATCCCACCCTTTCTTTCCTTCTCTGCTCCCTTACTCTTGGGCTCCCAGATTTCCCAAATGGCTCGGGCCCGCCCATGAGCGTTCGGTCACCCCCACAGGTGGCCATCCCAGATGTGGCCCATGCTGCAGCGGACGCCGACATCTTGATTTTTGTGGTGCCCCATCAGTTCATCATCAAGATCTGTGACCAGCTCAAGGGCCACCTGAAGGCAAAAGCCATTGGCATATCCCTTATTAAGGTGCCAGCAAGACCTTCACGTTGCTTGGGGAGGAATGGGAAGAACTCAGGGGGAGCAAAAAGGGAGCAAAAAATGGAAGCAGGTCAAGTGTTTGCACAGAAGAGAGTTGGCTTGGAGGCTTGAGCAAGCAGACAGAGGCTGGGGTCCGCTGGACAGAGAGGAGGCTGGCTAGGTGTCGGTGAGAGGTTGGTTTGCAGGCAGAGAAGCTTGGGGGCAGGGGAGGTGGGGTGGGAGAGTTGGGGAAGACCAGTGACCACCAAGATGACTGTTTGGCTGGGGCTCTCAGAAGGGGAGTTGAGCGATGAGGAGAAGCGGGCTGACTAAGGCTACATGGAAGGGGAGTTTTCAGGTGGATTCACTTCCCACCCTCCCAGCGAGCTTTAGCGGGTGTGGGATGGACCAGGTCCTCCCTCGGGGCACAGGGGTTCGAAGGGGCAGGATTTCTGGGCAGGAAGCCTTCACATGGGTATAAAGGACCCCTGGCCTGAACTCCATCCTGTGCTCAGGGGGTAGACGAGGGCCCCAACGGGCTGAAGCTCATCTCAGAAGTAATCGGAGAACGCCTTGGCATCCCCATGAGTGTGCTGATGGGGGCCAACATCGCTAGCGAGGTGGCCGATGAGAAGTTCTGTGAGACCACCATCGGTGAGAGCCCCTCCCCACCAGGGCCCCCAGGGAAGGACACTGGAGGTTCTGCCAAGAACAGCTGGTGTCCTCCCTCCCAAACGCTGTCCCCTCCCCATTCTAGGATGCAAGGACCCTGCCCAGGGACAGCTTCTGAAAGAGCTGATGCAGACGCCCAATTTCCGCATCACTGTGGTACAAGAGGTGGACACGGTGGAGATCTGTGGAGCCTTAAAGGTGAGAGGGGCCCAGAGGAAGTCAGTGGGGGGGAGAGGGGCCTAAAGGGGGCCAACCCCCAAGGGTGCCAGTGCTCCAGACACCCACTCTTAGGCAGTGAGTCAGTTGCTCCCTGTACCCAGCAGGTCCCACACATGTAAGGAAGGACGAAATAGCAAGGCCGGGGTCATTCAGGCCTGCCAACTATCACCATCAGGAACTTCCGTTCCTTTGTCCTTTATCCCTTTTTGGGTCACCTGACCCCTGGCTCCAAGGGTTAGTTCATGGGGAAGAGCAGAGGCCTCGGGGGAACCCCCAGGCTACTGAAATCCAGGTGTCCGGGAATCCAAACATTGCAGCGGCAGGGGCTATGGCGTCTGGGCACTCCTTCAAGCTGCAGCCATCCGGGCATGGGTGGCAGGGTCAGCTGGCGAGAAGTGTGGTTTTCGGCTAAACATCCTCACGGATGGAGTCTGGAGCAGGACTGGGCGCCCAGAGGCACCAACATAGCCTTCCACAAGCAGGGACAGCAGGTTGGAAAGCCAAGAGGTGACAATTGCTTAGGGGCCCATACCACACCCTTTACTTCTCGGGCAGATGACCCATAGCTGTGGTGAGGCTCCATATGCCAAGGAGTCTTCTCACCCACAACTTCTACCCCTCAAAGAATATCGTGGCTGTGGGGGCTGGCTTCTGCGACGGACTGGGCTTTGGCGACAACACCAAGGCCGCGGTGATCCGGCTGGGGCTCATGGAGATGATCGCCTTCTCCAAGCTCTTCTGCAGCGGCCCCGTGTCCTCCGCCACCTTCCTGGAGAGCTGCGGTGTGGCCGACCTCATCACCACCTGCTACGGCGGGCGGAACCGCAAGGTGGCTGAGGCCTTCGCCCGGACAGGAAAGGTGCGGGTCTGCTCAGGGTAGAGGGGCCAGGGGGACCCCTTCTTTCCTCCCAATGACCCCACCAATCAGACACTCCACCTCCTACTGACGACACCCCCAACCCCCCGCCCCCCTGTGTGTCCTCTACAGTCCATTGAGCAGCTGGAGAAAGAAATGCTGAACGGGCAGAAGCTGCAGGGCCCCCAGACCGCCCAGGAGCTGCACAGCATCCTCCAGAACAAGGGCCTGGTGGACAAGTAGGTGTCTGCCGCAGCCCCGGAGCCCTCCACAGGCTGTGAAGCAGGAACTGTCACCTGGACAAACAGTGCAGCCAAGAGGCCAGAACACCGAGAGAGTCTGTGACATTTCTGTTGTCCCCTCACGAGTACAAGTCCCTAGATTAGAGCCTTCAGAACAGCACCCACTTGAGCGCTCTTCCCAGGGCAGTGTGTGGCCCCTCTGCACAGCTCCCCCTCTGCCTGTCTGGGTCCTCTATCGGGGGCTCAGGGCTGGGGTCCAGCCTTAAACTCAGCTCACTATGACGCCTCGTAGCCCACCCCCGGGCAGCCTCCCTGTGGAGGCGCGTGCTGCTGGGTGTTGAAGTGTGAGAACGATGCGCTTTGTCAGGGGACACAGAGAGCGGGATGGCTGGGTTATGGGAGCTGAGTTCTGTGGATGTGGAGGGAACCCTAGGTGAGCAGAGTGTCAAACCTGCTCACTGGCATAGAAAGGCCTCCCTTGGAGCAAACAACTAGTTTGCGCCGCTGACCCTGCGAATAGAAGCCTGGTTTTCAATCCACGATGGCAACAGGCTCCCGGTCAGGGGCACAGCCTGGGCACAGGGGTGGGGAGGAAGGGGCCCGCAGTCACTGAGCACCTTCACGGACAGGATTCCATCTTCCCCGTTCCCGTCGTTCTGTGGGCCCCAGAGCAGAGTGGATGACAGCGAAAACACCCCCACACCTACTGCCATTGCCTTGGTGCCAGCTCATAGCACCCCTGTGGGACAGCGTGGAGCTGCCCCCGTGGGTTTCCGAGACTAACTTTACAGGGGCAGAACACCTGGTGGGTTCAAACCGCTGACCTTTCTGTTAGCATAACCACTATGCCACCAGGGCTCCTGAGGCACAGAGAAGTTTGCCAAAATCTTTATCCCCACAGACTCATACAGTCAGACAAGGCGCACAGCGAGTAGCAACCGACCCTGAGGCTCAGCCTCCAGACCTCAGCCAGTGGGAACTGGGAGCAGAGTGAGGCAGGGGGTGGGGGTGGGGGACAGATGGAAATGGGGTGGACCAGGAGTGTGTTTGGCGGGGAAGGGATGGACAGGGAGTAATGAGGTTAAGCTGGACGTCTCTCTCCCCCCGATTCTAGATTCCCCCTGTTCACAGCTGTGTACAAGGTATGCTATGAGGGCCAGCCGGTAGCTGAATTCATCCGCTGCCTGCAGAATCATCCAGAACACATATGAGGTGGGCCAGGCCAGGATGCTGCTTTTCCCAGTACAGACTCGGATCTTCAGGACCCCCCCATGAAGCTGACTCTGCTTGGCTTTTCACTGGGGCCCAGCTACTCACCCCGAGATCCTGAACCCCAAGAAGCCTGCAGCCTCTACGTGCCACATCTTGGCCAGAAAGGGAGCGCCCTGTTTCTCCCTGGATCTGGCTTTCTCCCCCGTCCTCGGAGAAAGATACAACTGAGGCCCATAGCTGCCTGGGGGTTGGGGTGGGGATGGAGGGCAGGGCAAGGGCTGTCAGCTGCTGCCTCACACAGACTGGGAAGCCTGCCCCTAAACCCAGTGACCTGCTCAAGAAGTCCCTCAGCCACAGGAGGGGTGAGGCCAGGGCCACCAGGGTGGCTCCGGGCTTTGGAGCTGACGCAGGCCCCTTTGGCTTTGACCTCTGCCGGGCCTCACACAGCATAATAGATTTCAGTGTTTGTTAACAAAATACAAAGATCTTAAACAACCCCCTTCTAGAGCTTCTCCTAGCAACATCTGTGTCCTCAGAAACCTCTGGCCACCCCCTCTCCCTCGGGGCTGCCCTGGCACCAAAGTGGCTGCTAGGCTGGCATCTCTGGCCCCAGGCTTGCCACACTCCCCAGAGACTTCCTGGTTTCCACTTCTTTGCCAGCTCCTTCCCCCACCCCGTGTGACCTTTCTCTGGCCCTCCCCCTCTGCACCCTCTTTGGGGAGAAGGAACTTGATCTGCTGACAGAGCTACACCTTTTCATAGCAGGCTCTGCTTGCTCACTTGCTCACCAGGCTCCCTGTGCCCTTTGTCTGTGCCAGCCTCCCTTCTCAGGAGCTCCCAGGGGTCCCTCCTACTGCCACCTACCTCTCTGGGGACACCCCTGACTCTATGCCTATCCTCCCCTAAACCCTGAGCCTCTTTCTCAGCTGCGTCCAGGGCAGCCGTGAGACCAAACCAGCATCTGACATCTGGAGGCCACCAGGACAGAGAGTGGCCCAGAGGCTGCACAGGGCCAGGAAGAAAGTGGGGAACCTGACTTTCCAAGGCAGGATCGCCTCTGTCCAGTGAGGGCCTTCTCATGAGATTCTCCCTCCAGGAGCTGGGGTGGGGGGCTGCAGGGGGAAGGAGAAAACAAAGCCACCTCATCCCCTGGGGCAGGGAAGCAAGACAGCAAGGGAGGAGAGGTATGTGCTTGGCACTGGCCTTCCTCCAGGCAAAGAGGGAATGTCATAGGTCAGAAGCCTGGGCCCCTGGCTATAAATAGTCCCTGAAGTCTTAGAGGTCCTGCCACAGCCAGCAGAGGGTCTCAACTTCCTATGTGACAGCACTTGGCACACTGTGGCCCTTTCCTGACCAGCATCATGTTAACCCTCCCCTTTGCCCTGTGAAAGAGGGTAGGTAGGTTCCTCCCAGCCCCTGGCCTGTTGATTCAGTCTTGCAAGTGGCAGGCAGCAAGGAGCGTGAGGGGCATGGCCATTGCCCCTAGGCCTCACTGGGCCCTGTCAGGCAATGAACCAGAGCAGCCTCCCCCAAAGGACAAGCTGGGCCCACAAAGACCGACTCTCTGCCGTCGCTGGAAACACTTTTGTCTGCGTCTGCTCACTCCAGAGCTAGCTGTGAATGGCGGCCTACATGTCCACCCAATAAAACATGCTTTTTTCCAGAGACGAGGGGAGCTTCCGTGCATGTGATCGTGTGCATGCTGTCATGTACCGCCGTACTCACACCCCAGAGCATAATATTTGGTTGGAGAGTACATTAAAAAAAAAAAAAAAAAGAAATCCACTTTGATAACCACTGTCATTCTTGGACCTCCTATTCCCACCTCACCCCTCCAAAGACCCAACTTCCTAAACTCAATCCCTACAGGTCAGGGTAGAACTGCCCCTTCGTGTATCCGCAGCTCGTGGCTTTGAACCGCTGACCTTGTGGTGAGCAACCCAACCGGTAGCCCACAACCCAGCAGGACTCCCAAATCAGGCACATCCTCTGCGATTCCGGTCTCGCTATAGTACTGTAAGACTCCTACCTGAGCTCAGAACACGGCCACGGGGGAGTGGGCAGCTCCAGGCTCTAGGGGGCGCGCGGTCCACTTCGGAGGGTGACTCCGAAGAAATCTACCCAGCTACCGGAGACGTCACAGGCTGAGGAGAGAGGGCAGCTCCAGGCTCTAGGGGGCGCGCGGTCCACTTCGAGGGTGACTCCGAGAAAATCTACCCAGCTACCGGAGACGTCACCGCGTCGCTAGCTGGGGATTGGTTGGTACTCTAAATTAGAGCGAAAGATCAAATCTACCGAGTGTAGTGTTAAAAGTTCCGGTCCAGAACCTGGCTCACGCAAGTCCCTCTCTCAACAGAGAATAACTACAACTCCCAGAATTCAACGGCTTCTCAGGGAGAAACGTGTGTGAGGCTGCGCAGTAAAGATGGCTGTTCCGGAAGCCGGAAGTGTAGAGGAGGCAACCAGTCGGTGAAGCCACCGTCGTGGGTTCCCGCCTCAGTGGGCGGGCTTGTGGCTGTGCTCGGCGTGTGGTTCTGTTTCTCTCGCTGGGAACCGAATCCTAGAGGGTCAGCGCGGCAGGTGGGACGAAGAAAGGCGCGCTTTCCGCACCGATAGCTAGGGGCTCAGGCTGTCCCAGGGCCGCTGCCCTCACGTCTGGTTCCGGTGCTGCGTTCGGTCGCCGGAGGAAGCCACGCGACCCGCGGAGGCCTCGGCTGGACTGTGGGAGTTGCAGCGTCCAGGTACGCCCCTGCATGGGCCGGCCAGGGCCTTGTGTCACAGGCTTTGTTTACTGCGCCCTTCACTCCGCCCAGTCTTTAGGCCCCGGTGTCCTTGAGGTCCCGGGCGGATCGCGCGAGGGCCTCGGGTGCCCGACCACCCTCCCAGCCGACGCGAGCAGCCTGCGAAAGCGCAGCGCTGATTGTGGGAAACCCTGACTCCGCCCCGGGACTTCATTTAACCTCTCTGCCCTGCCGCCCGCGCGCCGGCCTCGCCCGGACACCGTCCTGCATATCGCCTCCTTCCTCCATTCTTTGGCTGCGGTCTTCAACGTTTGGATCGCTCCCCTCCTCCCTCCTTGCTGGTGTGTAAATCGTGCTCCGGCATTTTAAAAGGACACCCACCCCCCAACCCCCACTCAAATATCGGGTCCGGTGACCTGGAGCGATTGAGCCCAGCCAGTCATTACTCCAGATGAAAACCAATTAAGAGCAAAGCCATTGATCAAGGAATTCGACTAAGGGATCATCCTTTAGGGTGCGTGACAGAATACACACAAAAAAGAACTTCCAAACTCATCGTCTTTCCAAGTGTCCTCTTAGCAGACTATACAATAACCGGGAGAAGCAGGCGTCAGTCTATTTCAAATAGGAGTTAGCATTCCAAACTCCTGATTGAACCCCCCGGGAAGTGGTTAAACCATTCACTGGTAAAGCAATGGCAAGATACTTGGAGCAGGGAGCACAATTAATTACACTTAAACATCAAAACGACTGCAGCCATGCCCACAACCTTTCTGCTAACTTTTCTTGGGCCCCTACGGACTCCAGTCTGAATGTTTATCGTGCTTCTTAGCTCTTCTGTCACCTACTGTCTTCTGCTCTGATTTTTGGCCCAGCTGTTCTTTTGGTACAGTTTTGGCACAGTTGCTAGAGTCACCTGCTAGCCAGATGGTTGGAGGATCAAACCATGGCAATCCTGTGGGGCAATCCTGTGCCTTCCTTTAGGGTCACTATGAGTCGGAACAAACAAGTTTGGTGATTGTTTTGCTTTATCCCCATCAAATCTTACTCTTTTGGGTCTGAAGCAATGGTCCCCCCAGCAGCCCTCATAGCACCATACAGTGTGAAGTATGGAGGGAAAAGATAGAGACTGTATCTAGCCAAAGTGGTGGTTCCATTTGATGGACGTTTCCCAGAGGAGAATCCTGATCCTTGAGGTCCTCCTGTAGTTAGTTAGCTGCCATCGAGTTGGCCGTCACTGACCCAAGGCAACCTGCACCCTACAACACTAAATGCTGCCCAGGCCGCCATGGTCCGTGTGATGGTTGCAGACCCGACCAGTGTGATCCTTAAGGGTTCACTGACTGAGTTCCAGGAGTAGATCACCAGGCCTTCCTTCCTCCTCTTAGTTTACTTTAGACGCTCTAGTGAAACCTGTTTGTATGATAGCAACACACAAGACCACTGACAGGTGAGTGGTGCCAGGGGTCAAACCTGGGGCTTTCCTTAAAAAGCGGAAGCGGAGGATTCAACAGAGCCTCCTTATGTGTAAACCAAACCCCCCACCAGCAGGTGGATCTGACGCATGTGTTTCAGGGTCAGGGAAAGAAAGAACTACACAGCCTTAGGTGGTTGCATCCCTGCGGAATCTCTGCTAGTAACATCCCTCCCCCAATGTTTCTCCCAAATCTGCAACCCAGCTCTTTCCCCCACAACACACTCAACTCTGAGTTTGTTTGTTTTCTGTTTTAAATCATTTTATTGGGGACTTGGACAATTCTTTTAAAAATTTATTTATTTATTTTCCCCGTACAATTCTTATAACCATCCATCCATCCATTGAGTCAAGCACATATGTACATTTGTTGCCATCATCATTCTCAAAACATTTGCCTTCTACTTGAGCCCGTAATGTCGGCTGCTCATTTTCCCCCTCCCTCCCTATTCCCCCCTCCCTCATGATCCCTCCATAATTCATAAATTATTAATATTTTGTCATGTTACACTGTCTGACGTCTCCCCCCACCCTCTTCTCTGCTGTCCATCCCCCAGGGAGGAGGCTATAGGTAGTCTTATAATCGGTTCCCCCTTTCCACCCCACATTCCCTCCACTCTCCAGGCATCGCCACTCTCACCACTGGTCCTGAAGGAGTCATCTGTCCCGGATTCCCTGTGTTTCCCATTGCTGTCTGTACCAATGTACATCCTCTGGACTAGCCAGATTTGTAAGGTAGAATTAGGATCATGATAGTGGGGGGGAGGAAGCATTTAAGAACTAGAGGAAAGTTACGTTTCATCATTGCTACCCTGCACCCTGACTGGCTCGTCTTCCTTCCGACAACTCTTCAGTAAGGGAGTGTCCAGTTGCTTTGTTTGTTTGTTTGTTTTAATCAAACTTGACATTAAAAAAAATTATGTAGTTGGCATTGTTTCTTCTGTTGGGTAGCTATCTTGGATAATCCCCAAATCCTGTAGTCCAGTTTGGTAAAGCCGCTATCCTTCGTGTACTGACAGAAACGTACCATCTGGTACCGAGTGAGGCCCTGTTTCCGGATCAGACTGTGTGGTTTGCGGCAGGAGCAGGCACCCCGGCTGAAATCGCGGGAGGCGCCCATAGAGCCGCTGGTGACCCAACGTGCCTTCAGACTTGGCGGCAAAGGGAAAGAGGAACTCCGTGCTTATTGAGAAACTGGATATTCCTTAGGGGCTAATGTTCTGCCAACCTCAAAAGTTAACTTTCATTTCCAAGGTTAATCTTTCTACTCAGACTTCTAATTTCATCTTTTCTTTGGCCAACTTGGGTTTTGGTTCATCCCTCAACCCCGCTACTTTTCTTAATCTTCAATTTACCTCCCTCCTGATAGGAGTCAAATCTTCCTTCTCATAAAGCGAACCCAAACTAGAGTTCACTTGATCTTGTTACCCTCCCAACAAACCAAACCACACTCGTCGCCATGCCATTGGGTCTGTTCTGACTCATAGCCGCCCTGTCAGGACAGTAGAACTCCCCTGTGGGTTTCTCAGACTGTGACTCTTGACAGGCGCAGCGAGCCTCGTCTTTCTCCTGCAGAGCAGTTAATAGTCACCAGCTGCTGGCCTCATGGTGAGCAACCCACTGAGTAAGCACTATGCCACCCGGGCACCGCCTTTTCAAGATGTTAGCCAATGAGCGATTCTGACCTCTCGGGATTGGGGTTATGATCTTTTAATAAGGTCTCTTTCTATCCTAGATAAATGCATAGGCACCAACTTGGGAGGCAGGTGTTGGAAGAAGTAGGCACGGAGGATTCTAGGCCTGTTGGTGCCCTGTGTGAAAATGTTGTCTTGATGCTTAGGCTGCCAGTTCCATTGCAGTGCATGAAGCTAACTTCCACCCTGCTTACCACCAACTTAGTGGCCCATCCCTCCCAGTTGTCTCATCTTTGTGGTACTTCACTCTGGTCCTCAACTTTTACTCTAGCCCAGCACATCCAAAAGATACAGCGCACTTCCATTCGTGGGGGTAACTTGGTAACAGTGGTTGAGTTACATCTAAGGAAGGGGAAGTAGTTAAAGGAAAAACTTCACTCCCCAAACCCCATAGTTTCTGTGAATAGTTTCCCACCTACCTGTTTTCCCGGTTTCCATTTTCAAACTGTGTTCCTTTGGCTCTATGATCCCAATCTCTAGCCTAATCCTTCTCCAGAGCTCTGGCCAGATTTGTATTTCCCGCCGCAGGATAGACAGACCCCAGCACACAAGTGTATTCAGCGTCTTCATTTTGCCCTGTCCAAAAGCCTGCTCAAGATCTTCCGACTAACATGGCCCCTCCACAGTGGCACACGGGAGGTTCTTATTTCTCTTAGCAGTTTCTGAACTGGTTACTTTTGACAGTGCTTCCAGCTCTGCCCTACCAAGACTAATCCACTCAGTTGATGGATCCTATTCTCTGCTCCTGCCTTACTTTGTGAGTTTTTGTCAACTTGAAAGTAGGAGAAGCCATCTTCTACAGGATAGATGAGAAACCAAAACAATGGTAGTGAAGTTCTGGACACCAAAATTTTTTTTTTTTAAACCAAAAACCCCCCACCGTGGAGCCAATTCCAACTCATAGTGATTTTGTAGGGCAGAGTAGAGCCGCTCCTCAAGGTTCTGAGACTAACCTTTGCGGGAGCAGATGGCTTCATCTTCCTTCTGAGGAGAGCGGTGGATTTGAACCACTGACCTTGCTGTTAGCCCAGTGTGGGCCACTGCCCCACGAGGGTCCCTGTGTTAGTCCATATCCTGTCACTCTTCCAGTCCTGCTGCACCTTCCTGTTTATGGGCTGGCTGGTGAGTACTCTGGCCCTCTTCCTTCAGCTCCCAGAAGTGGTCCAGTGACTACTTAGCTTCTGGTCAGACTCATGTAATGGGGGAGGCGGAGCAGGGCAGAGCCAGCTGGCTTCCCTGATCCAGCACCTGGTTCCTTTGCTGTCCAGTGTACGGCTTCGGGGCCTGTCAGAGCCCAGATGGCCTGAACATAGCCCTTTCTCTGACCTTATTTATTGTCCCTCCCTGCAGTCACTCGGAATGATAACTCCCAGAAGCTGTGCTTCCATGCAGCTTGGGGCTCACCCTGCAGGGGTGGCACCGATGTACTGTTCAGCCCCTGGGCCCTGCTCTGTGGAAGGCTGGCACCCCTTATCTGGCCTTTATGCCCCCATTCAGCCCTTCAGGAGCATTTTTTCTACATCCCTGGCATGTAAGGACTCATCTTCCATTCATTTCCATCAGTCATTTCATTTCAGTCCCCTTACAGAGAGGGCCTAAGAGCACACTGGGAGTCTCAGCTCGGGAAGTAAGGGGTGCCCATGCCCACCGTCCTCTCATCCCCCAGCTCGGACGAGCCGGGCCAGTTACCGTGGGGCTCACTTAGTGAAACTGTAAGCTAACCATTAGCAGAGGCCTAGTAGTGTCTTTTTTAGCCCTGGGGACAGGTTATAGATGTTAAATCTGGAATTTAGAATAGTATGATTAATTGTAATTATATAATAGTCACATCATTAAATTAATTGAGATGATAATTATGGAATAATTAGAGTAAGTTGAAAACTGGTTACATTATGATTGAAATAATACAAAGTACTGTTGGCACGACTTCAAGCTTATTAGGACTTAAACAGATGTTTGAGGGCTAGCCCAGGAACCTAATCCCACAGGAATGAGATGGTTTTTATAAGAAAGTAAATTGGGTGTTGCCTGGAAGGTTCCACCTTGGTCCTTCCAGCAAGAGTAATCCACCGCTGCTGTTTAATCCAAGGAGCCCTCATGGCACTTAAGGCCTTGGCTGCCAACCAAAAGGTCAGTGATTCAAACCCAGCAGCCGCTCTGAGAGAGAAAGATGTGGCTGCATTCTGGGTCCATGAGAATTACAGCCTGGGAAACCATGTGGGGCCGTGCTTCGAGGTCCTGGCAGCTGGCTAGGCGTGGGAGTGGACGTGGCAGTACACGTCGTGCTCAAAGAACTGTGTCGATGAAGGGAATTTCACATCTTCTGTATTAGTCATTTTTGTCCACACACACAGAAGGCCAGTGTTGGTGGCCAGATGCACCTGGGTTCCCCCTTGAGTCCCCGACTGGCGTCTCCCTCCCCTGCGTCAGTCTTGAGTGCAGACATACTAAGCAGAATGCAGAAGTTCGGCGATGAGTTTATGGGGCAGTGGGCCAGGCACGTAAGACTTTATCCTTGGGTCTGAATCTGGTCTCTCTCTGTAGGGGGCAGAGATGCCAACTGGCAAACAGCTAGCCGACTTCGGCTACAAGACCTTCTCCACTTCCATGATGCTCCTCACCGTGTACGGGGGCTACCTGTGCAGTGTCCGAGCCTACCACTATTTTCAGAAGCGCAGTTCCCGGCGCCAGGCTGCAGAAGAACAGAAGACCTCGGGAGTCCTATAGAGATGGGGGGCTCTCCCCTGGGGTTGAGACGCCTGAGGCATGCTGCGGAAAGACCTTGCCTGCAACCAGTCCCAAGTTGAGACGAGGGCCGCGATGGTTTTCCAACACTGCTGAAAGCAAGCCGCCCGGGCTTCCTCTGCTCCTGCCAGCTTGTGAAGGCTGTCTGATCACTGCAGGACTGTGGGAGGTGAATCTGCAGGCATTAAACATTTTCTCATGCCCGTGTCTTGTTGTTTTTGTGAGAACTTGGAATTCGGTTCTACATTTCTACCCCTTTTGATCCAAATTCTATTACAGGATCTGATCAAAATGTTCAGGATTGGGAAAACAGGCACCATCTAGTTTTGGTTTCATGGCAAAGAAGGTATTTGTTCATGGAAACCATGAACATCAGGTACATTAAAAAAAAATCATTTTATTGGGGGCTCTTGCAACTCTTATCACAATCCATATATCCATCCATTGTGCCAACCACATTTGTACATTTGTTGCCATCATCATTCTCAAAACATTTGCTTTCTACTTGAGCCCTTGCTATCAGCTCCTCATTTTTCCTCTCCTTCCCCACCCTCCTCCCTCATGTACCCTTGATAATTTATAAATTATTATTATTTTGTCATGTCTTACACGGTCCGATGTCTCCCTTCACCCACTTTCCTGTTGTCCGTCCCCCAGGGAGGAGGTTATATGTAGAGCCTTTTGATCGGTTCCCCCTTTCTACCCCACCTTCCCTCCACCCTCCCGGTATCGCCACTCTCCACTGGTCTTGAAGGGATCATCTGCTGGATTCCCTGTGTTTCCAGCACCTATCTGTACCAATTTACATCCTCTGGTCTAGCCGGATTTGTAAGGCAGAATTGGGATCATGATAGTGGGGGAGGAGGAAGCATTTAGGAACTAGAGGAAAGTTGTATGTTTCTCTCCTAGGTGGTTTTTAATGTTTTCATATACAGAAGTAAGTACATATGTGGTGGGTGCATTCTCGTGCCTCCCTTCTATTTAGAGGCCACAAACCCAGGAAAGATGCACTAAAGAAAGGCCTAGGATGCCAGGGTTCTCCCAGGGTGACCTTTAGTGCCAGGGTCACAGCTCATCCTGGGAAACCTGTTGGAGGGGAGAGTGGAGGAAGACAAACGGACAACCAAGAACCACAACAAAGAAGCAAGACCATTACAATCAGACGACAATCGTGATTGCCAAAAAAGTTTCACATTAAAAAAATAAGTATTTGTTTATCCTCATATAGCTATAGATCTTCGGGGAGTCAATTCATTGCCCCACATCCCTTTCATAGAACCATTTTCCTTATTACTCCAAAGAACATGGTTCTCTTGTGTATGTGGGGGTGTACCACACAAATAAGGTGTCTGGAACTGCAACAAATGTGAGGATTGACTAGTTTGGCCAGCGCTAGGTTTAAAATGAGACATCTCAGAAACAGAAGAGAATGAGCGAGAATCGGTGTGCATCCTCTGGATTCTGAGATCCCTGCATATGAAACCTCAGTTCAAGAGACAGAGCTGTGACACCAGAGAACCGAGGCAGCAGAACCAAGCGCCAGAGCAGTAGGCTCCTTGGGTCCACAGAACACAAAGCTGAGTTCCTCTGGGCAGGATGCTTGTTGGAGAGCAGGGTGTGTCCAGGCACTCTGCTGCCCCCTGGAGCTAGAGCTGACTGCCTTCAGGCTGAGGCCTACAGCGGAGAGCCCTGGGCAATTAGCAGCACTAAAAGAGCTGCTTCACGTTGCTGGGGCAGGCAGAAGCTAAGGGGCTCTGTGGCTGACAGGTTAAGGACCAGAGAGGTGTGCCTGTGGGCACAGCTGAGGTGATCCTGACCAACGAACTGTATCCTAAGCATTTCTTAATAACCCCTGTAACTGTGAGTATTGTCTATATGAGTTCTGTGTGGCCATTGCAACTGATTATACAAGGGGGTACCCCTCCAAAACCAGAATTGTGCTGGGTGAAACAGAGCTTTCATAGTAGTAGTGGGCATTTTTCCTGCTAGGCGAGCATCCAGCAACAACTTGCTCTGAGTGAAAGCCCCCAGTGGCGTCACCTGGGAAAGTTCCCTCTAGTCCTAGTGAATTTTTCATGAAAGCAGTTTTGCTCAAACCTCATTTTTTTGTGATGGCCGATGTAAGAGAACTGTGCAGCTGTGAAATTTTGTTTCCTGCTCAGGAAAAATGCTGCAGAAACTGTTGTGATGTTGAACACTGCTTACAAGGACAGTGCTATGGAAAAACTCAAGTGTACAAGTGGTTTTCTTGTTTCAGAAAAGGTGAAAGAAATGTCGATTGATGACAAACCTCATTACTGGATATCCGTCAACTTCCCAAATGTTGACTCATAGTGCACTTGAGTTAGTTCTACCAGGTGAGACTGTTATTCAAGCTTTATTTAGAGGTTCTGAAAATATTGTGTTAACGGTGTATGACAAAAAGGCCGGGTTTGTGGCTGATGAGGGACTGGTTTTGCCACAACAAAGGACTTGCTCACCCAGCCATCTCAGTGCGCCAGTTTTTGGCTGAAAACAGCATGCCCCATGCAACTGACCTCGCTCCCTGTGCAAGTTCTTTTTGTCTCCCTGAATGAAGAGTGACGTGAAAGGACAGCAATGTGATGACATAGAAGAGGTGACGAAAACAAGGGAGATGCTGTCAGCCATCCAAATAGTCGAGTTTGAAAAATGTTTCCATGAATGGAATTGCAGATTTGACAAATGTTTTAAGTGCAATGAGGAGTCCTTTGAAGGTGATAGGTTGTTTTGTAAAAAAATTTAAATACACCCCACACAGTGGGCGAAATACAAAGGAGCGCAACAGAGCAGTAAAGGGATCAAGTTTACAAAGTCCCCAAGGAATTCCAAATAGAGACTTCTGAGTGGGAGGGCGGGTGGTGGTGGTGCTGCACGGGGCTCGCCACAGACCCAGCTGGAAAACATTCCTAACGGTCAGCAGACCAACCTGGGATGACTTATAGACTTTTTTCCCCCTTTCTTTTCTTTTTCTCTATTTAAGATAGGCAGCAAAACAATCCCGAGGAGAAAACAACAGGCCAATGGGGTTCCAAGGGGACATGGAAGAGAAGGCATCCAGGGTGGGGGTGGGGGGTGGAGGAAGGGAGTGGGGAGCCAACAAACTCAGGGACAAAGGAACAACAAGGGAACAAAATCAATGACAAGGTGAGTGTGGAATGCCTGGTGGGGTTGGATCAAGTTCAATGTATCTGACAGGAATTACTGAGAGCTGAATGAAGGACAAACATGAGAGTGGGATCAGAGTAAAGTAAAAGGAAATACAGGAAAGAACTAAGAGGCAAAGCTATTTATATAGGTCAAAATAAAGGCACGTATATATGTAAATATATTAATTTATGATGATAGGGATAAAAGTCTATGTACATATATGTTAAGTATTAAGATAGCAGACAGATTTTGGGCCTCTATTCAAGGCCTCCCTAAATACAAGAGCACTTTGTTTCACGAACCTGGCTCTGCGATACTCACCATCCCAACACAATCACTGAAGACAAAATGGTGCATAAGAAAATGTGGACTTTGTTGCTTGTATTAGTCTGGGTACTTTGGAGAAACAAATCCACAGCAACCCATGTATGAGAGAGTTTTATGCAAAGAAAATGTGCATCACAAAAACA